TTTTTTACTAACAATTTAATAAAATACATTCATTATTTTAATATTAAATTGGTGCGTACGTTTATTTGGTGTTGTGCGTAAAAACCATAACACTATCTTCATCAAAAAAATCAAATGTATCTGAAATATTTTCTGATTCTGGTTTATTACTTGTCGAACAACTTAGAATATTTTCTACATCATATAACTTGGATGATGATTCTACAAATAAAATAAATAAATTCCAATTTGAAAAATACAGGTGAGAGGACTGAGAGGTGCTTTGTATTAACATATACCTAAACTACAATACTGCAAGAACATAGTTCAATTTTTAACAGTTTAATTAATACAAAATTAGACATTAGTTGATTTATATCTTAGTTGAATGATTTTTCTGATTTTTATAATATTGAATAACTATATTTAGTATTTAGTATTTAACTTTTACATTATTTAAAAAGTTTATAACGATAATAATAACGTACCCACTAAACAAAAGAATGGTGAATTGGTGATATTAAAAAGTATGTTATTAAGTAAGAATAGTATCTATTGAATACTATTTTAACTGCCCCCCGCCCCCGTACTATTTTTCGTATTCAATAATGTATATATAGGTACCTATTGTAACTAACGGTGTTTCATTTAAAACATTTCTTGTTGACACGTCAGAACGACTAGAACGAGCAACGTCGCGACATTCTTCAATGGTTTCCCCTTCTAGCAGGTCATCTTCGTTTGCAAAATCTAGTGTCATATCGACAAGTTCTTCGCGAACACGTCTTTGTTTACTAGTTTGGCTTCTATGGCTCATTTTTAAAATCGTCCAACTACAATTAATAGAATATTTAAATAAATAATATACCCAGTGCAAAATATTATTTAGTCCCTTGGACCATTTTAATTATTATTCTTAATATGCTAATATGCTACATACATATTACGTCTTAATACATATATTATAACTTATAACTTATAAGATATATATTAATATATTATTATAAAATATCATAATAATGACGTAGGTAATATACATAATGGTACCATTAGCCATTAGGTAGGTACTAAATAGTGGTAAAATCAAGCTCATATATCTTGTATTTTATATTTATAATATTACTAGCTTCATAGTAGCTGTATGCATGTATAACCCGACTTCGCCCGGGAAAAAATTAACAATTATTAACATATAAAGTATGTCTCGGTTTTGGTTTTGGTGTTCCTCAGTAAAAATATTATCGCTCTTGGTATAATTTCTGAAAGTGGTACTGTGAATGAAATTGCATGTATATCTGATGTCATTTGTTTTAGAGTTACACCAAAAACTAAAATCAATTTTTTCAAAAACTGATTTTGCGTAAAAATTCCCGTTTTTCCTTAAAATTAATTTATAACAGTTTTTTTCAAATATATCTTTAAAAGTTGTATAATATGTATATGGCCCGGTCATTATTATGCCCTATCTTGTTAAATATTAAAATGACGCCCCTGCAAATATATATATATATATTAAGTAATATAAGAAATTATAAGAAATTTAGTGGAAAAAGTGGCATAAAACATAAACAATTATTTTTATCGATATTGAAACATTGTAAAAATTATTGATTTGAATATTTTTTTCAATTTAGATGGCCAAAAAAATGTTAGGGGACTATTTTTCGAACTGTGAGGGCTAAGCCCCCCTAAATAAGCCAATGAATAGTACAAACTACATTTAAACTTTACTGAATAGAGGCAGCAATATAATTAATATTATATAAAATATCGTAAGGAGTGACAAGTATACGCTGACAAGACGTGACTGACTCAGAATTTTTTTTTAAATATCTACATTACAGCACAATGATTTAATATTGAAATATTGAATTATTTGAATTCAAATCAATTCAAATAATTAATAAATATATTAAGAGGACGTCACACCCGCATGTGTTGTCTCCGTCTTACAAACGTAGAACATAGCAAAAACATGTTTTGCGCGGGAAAGAACCGAGAAAGCTACAGTCATAATTAAGAAACGAAATTTTCACCACATAAAAAGGAGAACTTTGGCTGTGAAATATCGTTTTTATTTTTTCGATATCGGAAATACAAAAAAAGTTATTCAAGTTTAAAAAATACAAAGTTACATGTTTTTGCTAAGTTCTACGTTTGTAAGACGGAGACAACACATGCGGGTGTAGCGTCCCCTTAAGCCCATAATCGAAAACCACATATTCATTATATTAATGATATATTAGTAAAGATTATAATTATAGGATTGTGTTCGTACTTCGTAATCGTAGTATAATATAGGTATACTAGATATATAATATATAAATATATAATGGATCGCTATTTTATTATTGTTTATTATATAGTTATCATACCGGTCAGCGGTCGGTGAACACAAAATGGATTGCCCGACAATCCCGTAGGTCGTAGCTATATATAGTAGAGTGCAGATAAGATAATAGAGTCGTGTAGACGTGTAGTAGACACTATAATACACGGTAATATTTTTGGAACGTTGTTCTGCGATGCCCCGGCCCTGTGCGGCTGTGCTCCCGTCACGTGATTACGTGAATTGTGTTGGGGTGAGACGGTGTGGCGGTACCACGGTCGGCTGATTTATATAAATAATATAATATTATTGTACAAATTATTGAAAAACGTGGTTTGCTAAGACATAATAATAATTGTCAATCAATAGAATCGGATAATAACAAGACGCAACCACAAATTCGGGTTTTAGTACAACACTAAAAATAATACGCATTTATTGAGAATCCGTCAATATTGAATATTATGGTATATTACTATACGTATTACGTACGCATGCGCGTCGTATGTAAGAACTAAGAAGTAATCTGCAAGATACACGGACTAAGATATACAGGACTGGAATCGACATGGCCGGGGGGTAGTAGAAGGCCGGTCCTCAAATGTTTCTAATGGTACAGGTGTGGTTACTAGCGCATTCTAGTAGCGTATATTGGCAACGTACTAAAATAATTATTTTTGAAATAATAATATATTAATGTAATTATTGAAATTGTATTTATGAAACCTAATCTTAGTGGTTACTGGCTATTATATTTTGTAGACATATCATCAGACTTAAGTGACTGTCGTAACGTTGGTTTGTGGATCATCTGATTTTAAAATGCCTCGTCAATGTTCGGTGATTTCGTGATAGAGTATTAAAAGAAAACAAGCTGTTCAGTTGTTTAAAGTTCGAGACTCAGATTTTTATGCTTGGAACGAAATTATTCGAAAAGTAAATGGTAATTTGAATCGTAAAGTGGTTTATGTCTGCGCTGAGCACTTTTCTAATGATGATTTGATAACTCATTATAATGGACCTAATGATTTGGAAAAAGTAAAATTAAGAATTTTACATAATATTTGAATATGTTTAAATTTTAATATTTTATATTTCTGTAACATAATTATTAATTACCTATAGGTTAAAAGACATTTGGTTGGGTTAAGGAAGGGAGCTATTCCATCAATATTTGATACATCAATTGATATCACTGAAAACCATAATACTGTAACTCCTGATTTACCAGACCCATCCGGAAAAAGTACATTAACTACTGAACCATTTAGAAAACAGTTGTTTAATGAACCTATTGCTAAACGAATATGTCTTAATTCACAGATCCTAATACAAGTTTGTTAATGACTTATGATTATTACACCCAAAAATAGTCTGTCTAGAACTATAGACTATTATATGAATTTAAATACTCATAAGCACTAATTAACTATTGTTATTTATTTAGGAAACATTTACCAGTTATGAGGAATTATTAATGCCAGTTGGTTGGATGTTGTACCGTGATGAATGTATAGTGTCTTTGTATAAACCAATTAAATCTGAATGTGGTAGTGAAATGAAAGTGGTCATTCAGAAACAAATTGTTTTTCAATCTAATATTTTAAAAATAAGCTATTATGTCAATCAAAAATGAAGAGATCCTAAAGTATAAGGTCTATCACAATTGACATACCCATTAGATTTTATGAAAATTAATGAAACTATTAAATTGTTTGAACAGAAACAAACTTGTCAAGGTGGTCCAAGTGTCATCAATTTTCCTGGTACCTATATATTTCTAATTGCTTAATTAATAATTAATATGTTTCTACATAATCTTAAACTAAAAATTTTGTATTTAGGAATTCATATTAAAAACACTAATTTAGACGGTTCAATATGGCGCCATAACGAATGTTCAATTCTTACTAATTCTACAAAAAGATGTCAAAGATGTAATTTATTATTTCCTTACTTTAGGGTATATAGAAAAAGGTCATCTATTAAAAATAAAACAAATATTGGCTCTACTCTGACTCCTACTAGACGAAGTATATTAAAACAAATTTTAAGAAAAACAAAAATGGTTAAACAATCCAATAAAAGGTGAAAAAGTGTGAAAGAAAATAATATTTACAATAACTATGCATTCACCATATTTGTTTATTAAAGGTTTAAAATAAAAGTAGAACAATTGAATGTAACATTGAATGAAGTACAATGTAAATCAAAAAATTTGACAAATGAATCTGTAGCTGATCTATTTGAAAGTAACAACTTGAATACATCACAGAAAACAATTATTCAAGAAATTATCAATGCCAGTAAAGTCATGAACACTAAAAATAGGAGGTATTCAGAAAATTGGATACTATTATGCATCTTATTGAAAATTAGGTGAATAATTTACCACCTTTAGGTAATATTAATTTATGACTAACTTTTTTTTTTTTTTGACGTTGATAGATCTTCCACTACTTACCGATTTTTAAGAGAACAAGAAGTATTACCTCTACCATGTCCAAGAACTATTAGAAAATTTTTATCAATGATAAACATTCAATGTGGTTTTGACAAGAAATTTTTCCAAATATTAAAAAAAAAAATTGGTATACTTAGATCTGAACAAAAACATGGTATGTTAGTTTACGATGAAATGTTTTTAAGAGAAAGTCTTAATGTAAACTCTCAGACTCTCACTTATTGTGGATTGGAAGATTTTGGCAGAGAAGTAGATTCTTCTGAATTAAAAGCTAATCATGCATTAGTTTTTATGTTCCAAAGTTTAGCTTTAAATTTTGCTCAACCTATTGCAGTTTTTGCATCTCATGGTCCAGTTAAAGGTATTAAAATTGAAATACTGTAATCGTGTTATTTGTTTATCAGATAACTAATAATATTGTTTTGACAAACTAGTAATAATTTAATAAACAACCAAAAAACATCAGTATAATATTTAACTTTGTGATTTAATTGTATATGCTTTATTTTATGTGTTAGATGTTAGTTGTATGTTACTGTGGACTGCGGTAGGTACATACATTTTTATGTTTATAAATATTAGGAACTGTATGTGGTTAATTATTGAATGTTGCATGATTTTAATATACCGTCTTAATATATTGTAATAATATCTATGTTATAATGGTATATTTCTAGATTATAGGTATTTTGCTCTTCGTTTTATTTGTGTGTTTCTATATGGTAAATTTATTTGTGTTCCATGATTTGAATGTCCAGTTTCATATATATTATGTATTGTGTGTACATATTGCATGTATATACAATAATGTACAAATTAAGTGTTGTACTTTTATGTTTTATTTGTAAGTTATAAATATTATTGTGATTTAAAATCTATTATATTTTTTTGATTCAATATTTATTAATTTATCATAGGTTTGGTTTTGGCCCAATTGGTCATTAAAGCAATATGCTTGTTGGAAAATATTGGATGTAGAGTTGAAGGTGTGGTTTCAGATGGGGCATCAACCAACCGAAAATTATGGGTCGAACTTGGTATAAGTGGTCAAAAGGATAAAGTGTCTAATTCATTCCAAAACCCCTTAGACCCTAAACGACAAATTTTTATGTTTGCCGATGCTCCCCATCTCATAAAAAATGTTAGAAACAGACTCTATAATAAAAAGAGTTTAAGGGTAAATACAATTATAAGGTTTCTTATAATTTATTTAAATAATACTTACATTAAACTTCTAGGAATCCCCCGAAAAGGCATTTATAAGATGGTCTCATTATCAAGATGTCTACAATAATGATGTAAATAGAAATTTAAATTCTCCAACAAGGATCTGTCCTAAAATTTCATTAAGACACATAAAAGTTGATGGGTTTAGTAAAATGAGTGTCAAGTTAGCAACTCAGGTAAATTTATATTAGAAAAATATATTTGTCATTATCAACTATTACTTGTTTCTAGATTTTTAGTGATTCTATGGCCAAGGGCATAGAATTCTACAGAGAGTATGTTGGAATTGAATCTTTAAAAAATAGTTATGAAACACAAATTTTTACTGACCGTTTCAATAAACTTTTTGATGTACTTAATAGAAAGCACCCTGGA